GTAAGGAAAATCCGATAGTATAATATATATAATCCATGTATAAACCTGCAGGGCACTGTAGTTTCTCTGGATTAGCTAAGTTTATTAGATATGGGTTATAGTAAAATGTTAATCTTTTTTTATAAAGGTCTTTTACATTTTAAGTATAAATATTGTCATGTAGAAAAGACAGTTGGCTAGAATAACAAGGCTGTGTCGAAAGCTTAGTCAGCTGCCTTGTTTTCTTGCTATCGGGCACTGACCTTAGAGGCAGCGTTTGTGCATGAAGGCACCTCATAACACTGATTTCAGACAGACTTCTGAGACAGCATAATGATTCATGTACAAGCACAACAAGATAGAGAGAGCTTTGGTGATAACAAAGAGAATGTTTCCTTTCTACTAAACTCCCTTCCCCACAAGAAATGCCATCAAAAGTGGAACATGTTGGTTAAATATTGTACATTTACAAGCAAAATTACTGAAATTTGAAATGCCGCTTGAAATGTCACAGCAGTATAGAATATAAAAGCAGTGATGAAAACATAGATTAGTTGAAGGTTCCTCTCAAGACAGGAACTATTTACATTCTGATGTGCCTTGTTACCTTCTCGCCTTGGAATGCTGCTTTTGAAGGCAGCATCATAGGGCTTTCAGATGCAGCCCAAATGTTTTCTTTATAAAATGGGATTTAAAATCAAGTTTACTCCACTTTAACTTCCTTCAGAAGTTAAATCACACACACACACATATATATATATATATATATATATATATATATATATATATATATATATATATATATATATAGTAATACTTTAGTTTAAGTTAAAATTCACACAATTTACTACTGGCTTATTACCTGCCAGTAATAAGCTCTTATAAAACCTAATAGCTCTTATAAAGTATGATTATTTTACATCCCTAATCCTACCTCATACCTAGGGCCACAGAATCTGCAGCCATTTTTTGCTATTTCTACTAAATATTTATGCCGAATGATTTTAGGAGTATCATAAAAACTTAATATGTTAAATAAAAAGTAATACATTTTTAGCTTACATTTAATGTTTACAATGAAAATCCTATAAGATACATTTATTTGGTAAGCAAAGCAAGTCTCTCATTTAATTTACTAAGACAGAAATTATTACTTTACAAATTGTATTTTATGTAAATCATATGAACATTTTGATATTAATATGAATGACTCAATATTATTACTGAAATGAAATGAAATTAAAAACTGAATAATTTAAATTGACACATATTTTCACACAACTAAATAAAAATACTCAATGACGGGCTGTAAATCTGTGGATTTCTGCGCCTAGGTTTTATACCTAAAACCTATTACCTTGCTAACTTTTAATAAGCAACTAATTAATAGTTTATTGATTAATAGTTTGTTATTTAATGAATTGTGTTCGTACATGTTAAAAAGGCAAATGTTTCTTCATTTTATGAAAATAAAATGATCTAAATGTTCACATACAGTGCTCAACATATATGAGTACACCCCTTCACTAAGCTCTCATTTAGATTAATATTTTCTATAGGAAGCTTTTAAGTATTATATTTGTGCATATACATTAGATTAGTCAGTACTGAAGCCAAATCTGGAGCTTATCTAACAAAATAACTTTTGATAACGGTCCAAAATTAGTACACCCAAATTTATATGTTTGGGAAAAATCTTAAATAAAAAAATAAAAAGAGAAAATCCAAGAGAAACAAAAATTAAATTTTGCAGTTTGTAATTGTAATGTTCCCCTCAATATGTCACGATTTTAAATGGATTTGCCTATTTCTAAAAATATTTAGAGAATATAATAATATTTTTAGAAATAGATCTGTTTAATAAATCTGTTTTGATCAAATGCACCAAAATACTTGATACTACATATTTTCGCAGAGAAATTGATGAAAATATTCAAAATGGGGTGTACATGTTTATGTTGAGCACTGTATATCTGTAAATGACAGATTTCTGTCTGTTTGTAAGTTTGATGTTTGCAGGTTATAAGGGCCGTGTAACTGGCTGGGGGAACCTTCGGGAGTCTTGGACCTCAAACCCAACGAATCTCCCCACTGTGCTGCAACAGATTCACTTGCCCATTGTGGATCAGAGCATCTGCCGCAATTCCACCTCGGTCATCATCACCGACAACATGTTCTGTGCTGGTAAAACATATATCTTCATATTCTTCAGACCTTATGACGGATCAGGTGCCAAGAACCCATGTGGTGCATATGCTCCAACTTCACAAACAGGTCATCTTGTGTTTTTTAGGTTACCAGCCTGATGATTCAAAAAGAGGTGACGCTTGTGAAGGAGACAGCGGAGGCCCCTTTGTGATGAAGGTATAGTGACGTTTATACTTTTCTTATTGATTTGCCATTTGTTGATAAAGGACTCAAACCACAATATTTAAACATCTTCTCTGTAACTGCCTGCAGAGTCCTTCAGATAATCGCTGGTATCAGATTGGCATTGTGTCGTGGGGTGAGGGCTGTGACCGTGATGGTAAATATGGATTCTACACTCACTTGTTCCGAATGCGGCGCTGGATGAAAAAAGTCATTGAAAAAACAGATTCGGGAGATGACGAATGATCTTCCAGTCTAGAAGCAAATACAAGGAATAAACACTTTGGTCAAATGTGATGAAATAAATATGATGAATACATTTTAATTCTTTGTATGGTGATATCAGTGCTTGAGCATGGCATTTCTTTTTGTGTGCTGAGGCTGAGAGACAGATGCAATTCTTGTTTTGCGTCAGTGAAAGTTAACATCAGGTTCTTGCTGTGCAGAAAGGAGGAACAGTGACTTTGAGGATGAGGTGTACAACACACACACAGACCAATGTTTTATTCAGTTGTTTTATGAAAAGAAATACATACTACTTTCTAATATGTGGTGCCATGCATTTTCACTGAACTAATTCAAAGCATGCTTCATTTAATACATGTCTGCTTTATGACAAAAAAACTGAAGGTCAAAAATAAATGTAAAGCAATAATCTGACAACGCATTTCTGCAAAAACTGACTTCAGATGTATATATGAATAAAATAAAACTTTTTTGATCCACTTTAAATGTTGACTGCTGTACATATAGTTTAAGTCAAAATTTAATTATTAAATATTTTTGTTACTTTTTCAGATGTTTCTTTAAATTAGGTTTAACAGACCAAGGAATTTTTGACAGTATTTCCTATTTTTTTTCTTATGGAGAAAGTCTTATTTGTTTTATTTTGGCTAGAATAAGCCAATATTATTATTGTTAATATATATATATATATATATATATATATATATATATATATATATATATATATATATATATATATATATATATATACATACATTAATTTTCTTTTCGGCTTAGTCCCTTTATTAATATGGTGTCGCCACAGCGGAATGAAGTGCCAACTTTTCCAGCATAAGTTTTTTACACAGCAGATGCTCTTCCAGCTGCAACTTATCACTGGGAAACATCAATACACTCTCATTCACTCAGATACACTACGGACAATTTAGCTTACCCAATTCCCCTATAGTGCATGTCTTTGGACTTGGTAAGAGATAAAAAAGAGATAAAAGAAATCAGTTATTAGAAATTAGTTAGAACTACTATGTTTAGAAATGAGGCGAGTGGTGGCTCAGTGCTTAGCACTGTTGCCTCACAGCAAGAAGGTCATTGTTTCGAGTCCCGGCTGGGTCAGTTGTCATTTCTGTGTGGAGTTTGCATGTTCTCCCTGTGTTGTGTGGGTTCATCCAGGTGCTCCAGTTTCCCCCCACAGTCCAAAGACATGTGAACAGGTGAATTGAATAAACTAAATTGTCTGTAGTGTATGAGTGTTCAGGGTGGCAGCTGGAAGGGGATCCGCTGTATAAAACATATGCTGGATAAGTTGGCAGAATAAAGAAACTAAGCTGAGTGAAAATGAATGAATGAATGAATGTTGAGAACTGTGTTGAAAAATAATAATTTAGGAGGGCTAACTAATAACTGTACATAAATGTTAATAGATGTACAGTGGTTGTATTTTATGTATTATAATTTGACATATATATATATATATATATATATATATATATATATATATATATATATATATATATATATATATATATATATATATATATATATATATATATATATATATATATATATATATATATATATATATATATATATATATACATACAGTTGTTGAAGTCAGAATTTGGTAGCCCCCCTGAATTATTTTTTTCCCCAATTTCTGTTTAACAGAGAGCAGATTTGTTCAACACATTTCAGAGCATAATAGTTTTAATAACTCATTTCTAATAACTGATTTATTTTATCTTTGCCGTGATGACATTAAATAATGTTTTACTAGATATTTTTTCAAAACACCTCTATTAAGCTTAAAGTGACATTTAAAGGCTTAACTAGGTTAATTAGGTTAACTAGGCAGGTTAGGGTTACAGGGTAAGTTATTGTAAAAAAAAAAATTGCTTAAAGGAGCTAATAATTTTGACCTTAAAATGTTTTTTTTTAATTAAAAACTGCTTTTATTCTACCTGAAATAAACAATATCTCACTCAACGGAGAGAGACGGGTGATGGGTAGGGTTTTTCAGATTTTCAGACATTCTGTGAAAATTTCCTTGTGCTGTTAAACATCATTTAGAAAATATAAATAAATACAAATTAAATATATATATATATATATATATATATATATATATATATATATATATATATATATATATATAATGTATTTAATTTTTGCTCATAATGTAAATTATTTCAGTGATCTTAAAATGAAGGGTATCTATCTTTCTGTCTTTTTGGCTGTCATGTTAGGAGACATAACTGAACACTCAAAAACACTAGAGAATGTAAACATTCAACCTGTTGTTCAATCAAAGATTAAAATGTCAATAATCTCGGAGGCGTGGTCTATCCTCCTTCTGTCGCATCCGGGCTGTTTACACCAAACTACACGGACCGCAAACCGGAAGTGCCGCTTGAAATTCGCAAGATTGGCAGAGTTGTGAAGACTTCAATAGGGAGCACTGAAAACTAGGTAATCCATTTCTCCTTTTTGCCTTTATGAAACCTGCGGGGTTTCGCTTTGCGTGTTCCCTGATCCGCAAAATCTAGTCACTCGTCAGGGCAACGCTTGCTATCGTTTCCGCTCTGTTGTTAAGTCGAGGTGAAGCAGGTTTGCAGCTAGTTAGCTTAGCAGACTGTCGATTAGTAAAACCGAGCCAATGTGTGCAGCATCTGACTTTCTGCATTAACGCCATCACTGAGACTTGAACTGTTTCGTGTTGTTTACATCACATGCCTGGATGTTGGCTCAGTTCCTGCAGAGTAAACACACGGTTACGTGTCCAGTAAGCTTAGAATACGACATCATCTGTCCTGAGCAGGGCTCTTAATGGGTAACATTTTATACCAGAGTATACATTTGGCATTCAAGCTCTCGCACTGCAAAGTTTGGAAGGATGTCTGCCATGAGTTGTATTTTGTCGAGACAGAACGCTGGTGACTGACCTGCCAGAGATAGACTAACGTTACCCTGTGAAAGGGCAGAAATCTAAATATGAGCACGAGCACCATGTCGACGTTTTTCCTGTTGTATTAAAATTGAGGTCCTTAATAAAGGTGAATTGTTTTTTAATAACATTAGAAAAAGCTATGGGAGCACCAGCTCAAAATAAATTCCAAGTTTACATGTAGTAAAAAATCAATAAATCTTTATTTGTTGATATTTGCTGTGCTCAACAACCATTTTAAACGGATGTTTCTTTAGGGGGTTGCATTTTGTTTGACCTTATCTCAAAGGCACAGTTTGATTATGATTATGAAAATTATGATTTTTATTCTCCCTCCACTGGTTACAAACATATTTCGGTTTCTTTTCTCTGATGAACACAAAACATGAGATTGTGAAGAATATTGGAAACCATTGGCCTTTGTGCTCCACAGTTTTTTTTCTCCCATGGATGTCAATGTCTACCAGTTAACGGTATTCTTCAAAATATCTATTTATGTTCAGCAGAAAGAAGAAGCTCATAAAGGTTTAAAAACCAGTGGAGGGAGAGTAAATGATGAGAGCATTTTACATTCAAGAGAAAAAGGTGCAAAAGTAGCATGAACTTCTAAAGGCAAATCCTTTACAAGCTGAATGTGAAATCCACACGTTTCTAAACTGATTATCTGAGCGCTGTAGAGATCATTTGCTGTGTTTCGCTCCCCTGGATCTATGTGTAAATAAATGGCGACACTGCAGAGAGATTAGCAGAATCACATGACCACCAAACACTCTGCTTTGCTTTCATGTGCTTCATTCTGCAGATTATTCTAAGGCATCGCACTGTGTTTATGAACTGAGCACATCTGAACCATATTAAACTGCCCTACTCGAAACACAACAGAAAATGATTGCATGTGCTTTTATTGAATTGTGAATGAGGATTACTGCATCAGGAGGGATCCTGGATGAGTGGCGTCTGACAGAAGATGCTGGCATTCAGGAATATTGAACTGCTGCAAGCTATGCGCACAGAGCCCTGTTTAGTTTTTTTATGTGCAGTTATGAGTAGAGCTGTACTAGAAATCTCAATTTCTCTTTATAGAAATCCAATAACCAATATTTAGACTGATAAATACAGATTTTGAAAAAAATCAGATCCTATTTGCAAAAATGCATTTGACAATTTTAATTAAAAACCTTTACTGAAAGAAACATCTAAATCTTTATTTTCACAAAATAATTTATGTATCAGTATTCTGTGGTCCTTTCTTTTCCCAAACTCAAACATTGCAGACAAATTGCATTAATAATTTCTGGGTGATTTGGCCCAAAATCAAAATCTCGATTAATTGAAAATTTTAACTAACAAGTTTTGTACAGTAAATATGCTAACATATCACAAGTGAGAGATTTCTGAATGAAGGGTGCATTGCTTGATTTTAAAATAAGTAAGCACACACTATCTACTATCTATAATTATTTATCGAAAATTAACGCTAAACAAATTAAATTAAAACACACATTGCCTAAAACGCTGCTCTCCGCACCACCCACCCTCGTCACCACTATCAAATCGACCAATCACAAAGCATTTTGACATGTAGTTAAATTTTTTTGTGAGCTGTGTGGGTATACGAAGGTTTCGCCGGACTGTATGTGTGCACTTGGTAGAAGTATAATCAGAACAATATAATAAGTATAAATTTGCCTTAACATAGCGGGGTCATTTGACTCCACAAACGGTAGGGAAAGTAATTTTAAAAATTGACCTGGAAAAATGTAATCAAATATAGGTTCTGAATGTTGATTTCAGTTACTTTTTGATGAATCGCCCAGCCCTAATTAATAAGCTATATTTATTGGGTTGACAATTTATTTTCTTACTTCTCCTATATAATAACATTATAAATATGCATCATCATTTATGTTGTACATCACTGATCGTAAAACTATTATAATAAACTAATTATTTTTACGCAATTATACACACAAGACCAAAACGTATATAGAAGAAGCCAAATTGGTCACTCTAGTTTAAGTCATTTGTATTTTATTGAAGAATGATGCACCACTGTCAAGCCTCACTCATCCTTAAGCATATTTTATTAAATGTAAAATCTTAAAGACTACTAGATAAGGTATTTATATCTTCATTATCATATATTGAACTGAAAAATCATATTTAATGTTTTTTTTTTATCTTTCATTGAATTTTGAAATTGCTATTAAAATGTAATATGCTTTTTTTTAATCTGTATTGATATTTCCATAAAATAGCCATAAGTTGCTGATGTGGCAATAAAAACACAAACAAACGCAAGAGAAGCATTAGCAAGTATTGATTTTATTTACAGCAGCTAGTCTTTTGAAAAGCATAGAGTTGATTTTTGGAGGTGTTGGACTTTCTTTGGGTCTCTTGTTTTTAAGCTCTCTTTAGGAGCTTTGTACGTGAAGTGCTGGTTGACTTGACCGAGTGTGGTCTTGAGGCACAACTGTGAATGAGGCGCATTGTTTTTGCTGATGATCTTGTGAACCCGTCCATTAATTAGCAGGAAATAAAAGAGCGAAAGAGGAAAGGTTTTGGATGAGTTCTATTTGGCCAAAAGCAAACGATATCAGCATTTATTTGACCAGATTTTTGACTGTTTTAGTTCAACTCTTGTGTACTTTTGGGGATGTTTTTATCCACTCTGGGGAGATTTTGAGGCTTAATTTAGATACAATTTCCTGTTTCAGCAAATGGAAAGAAATTTGGTGACATCTTGTTTTGACACATATTTTGGGAAAATGCTTTTAAAATTTTTTTAAATAATTGACTAACCTTTCATTATGTTTGTGGCTGTTTTTGACCCCTTGACTTCCATTATAAACACAATTTTTGATTGCAATGCCAATAGGTCAATGGGGCAAAAACAGCCATGAGCATAACGAAAGGCAATTTAAACAATACACAAGGGTTAATATAAGTTTGTCTATTTATTTGTTTTTAGTATCAGCTTTATTGTTATGATTTATTGTAAATTTAATGTAAATTTGGCTTTTTATTCATTAAATATCCACCAACGTGTTAGTGGCTAATAGAGTTCTAATTAAACCATATAAACCAAAATTAAGTACATCTATAGCACCTCAACGGTGTTGAGAGCTTCTTGGCTATAGAATAGCTGCAGTCATCAGTTACAACAGACATAAGCTGTGCTCTTCAATCACGGTGACACATGGACGGCTCAGGTTATGCCCGTCACCTGAAGACTTTCAGTGTTTAGAGATTAATGTGGGTGTCATTGCAGAGCGAACACTGTCACAGCGGCTTGTAAATGTGAAACTGGGTTTGCTGGAGTTGAGAAAGTATATAAATAGGGTATTATATAAAGATAAAAATAGGAGCAGAGGGTAAAGCCGTGATTTCTTGTCAGTATACGGCTGGGCAGCCACATTGCCGCGCGGCACCAAAGCGAGGCACTGTCACAGCAGATCAGCGTCTGAGCCCTACTGATGATGGCACAAGTAGCCTTCAAGCTATACACACACAGATTAAAAATAAAGTAACACATTCGCATTGCAATAGTATTTTAATAAGTACAGAATATGTAATGGCATAATATAAAAAAAATTGGTTTCACAAACCACAAAGCTCCTAATTAAAAAATGAAACATTGTTTATGATAGGATTACTGTTGTTGTCCTCATTATGGCAAAGGAAAACACTGAGTAGTGTATCTTATTTTCACTGTAGACACTGTACACTGTTTACAGTGTAGATGAGCATTGTTTATTTGTGTGCTTCAGTGTTTGAATGCCTGCTGTTGAATGCATAAATGCCTTTCCCTGTTTTTGCCATTGCTTTTTTCCACTGCATGGTTCCCTCAATGAAATCTACAGGCAGGCTTTCGCTTGAATGCACAATGCACTGTTTTATCAAGAGAAAACTGTATTAGGTTTTGGTGGTTGATTGCTTAATATACAGTGGAATGCACATGGAAGCTAAATATGTGAACTGACAATGAATCTTATTTTGAAATCATGCTAATACAATAGAATCAAATTAAGTAGCACAGTTTTCCTGCTCGTTTAAATGTAATATAACAGCAGTAATGAAATTGCTTTTTTTATATATATACAACTATCACTTCTGCAAAACATCATAAAAGCTCATTCATTTTTCAAACACAGAGCTCAGCATTAATTTCAGGCATTCATTCATGTTTAGAGCACAAATCAAGATATCTCAAATCAGATCTTTCTGAAATAAATGTGTAGTACGGCTGCACAATATATTGTTTCAGCACCGATTTCGCAATGTGTGTATCTGCAATAGGACATCGCAGGATGAGTTTATGGAGTAGAACTTTGTCATCTGCGTGTGTTTTTAAATTAGTAGTTTAAAACTTAAAACTTTACTCACTGTTTTCATCTCACCCTTCACTTGTTTTAAACATTTATGCATGTTTTTTCATGTTGAAAATATAAAGAAGATATTTTAATAGCTTAAATGTTTGAAACAAGGAAAGGGTAAATACTGAGAAAATGTTCATTTTCTTCACTATCCCTTTTAACCCTGTCACTGTGTGAACATTTCAATATTACAGAGTTTGAATTATTCACCCACAAGATAATGTTTGTAACTTTAACCCTTTAACTCCCTCACCAAGAAATGGATCGCATTTCTTAAAGGTGCAGTGGGTGATCTTCCACAATGCTAACAGCTTGGCTTAAATCTCTGAATCACAGTCCCTCCCTCCCCTGCCGTCCATAGCCATGTTTCCTGAAACAGGAGTATGCGCACCTTAAAGATGACAGCAAAAGAACCCTCTCTCATGTGTTAAAAGCGACTAGTGCTTGTCCGGCGGCATGCAAGTATTACACTCGTTACTAAGCCAAACTGACATGCTATTTCAGAGCAAATATTTAGAGTTGCATGGTAAAAAATATAGGGAGAGACTAGACGAAATAGCGATATTGACTTGTGTTTTGTTGTTAAACTAATTAAAATCTACGTTATCGATGCTGTAAAAGGTCCCTTATGAAACTGAAAATATTCTTATCAATCTTTTACCAGAAGATTTTAGTGGCTGAACAACACATCTGTGAAGATTTAACCCATTTGTAACAACAACATCTAACAATACATCAGCTTTGCGTGAAACTACAATAGTTTTAAAACAGAACATTACCCGTCTAAGAGAAATCCTTTAGCTATTGTGTCATCCTTTCTCCGGTGTGCAAAGGTAACTCAAATATTGATTGAGGATTTTAAAAAGTTTTGATTCAGCATGTTTTTGTCGATCGTGCGTGCTCGTGCTCTCTCTCTCTCTTGTGAAAAACAGCGGTTGGCGGAACTACTTACAAACGGTTGTGCAGTTGTTCGAATCTGCATTTGCTGACAAACAGGCTGGGCTACTTATCTGAATTATGAGACATGTTGCCCCGACGCTATTTAATTGGATGAACATTTTTATGTTTTATGCCTTACCCAACATATAAATAAACAAATAAATCCATTTAGATCATTTACTTTAATCATTACTATTGGAATGTGGAGAGACTTTCAACCAGCAAAATAACAAATGTTTCTGAAGACAATCACTTACTGCACCTTTAACTCTTAATGTCACTAGTTAACACACTCAATACATTTTTTTTAACACATCCCATAATTTCTAAAATATCAACCATTTGCTAGAGGTTGTTATGTCGATTTACGGTATAACCAAAATCTAGTGTAGTAGTGCAACAGGATTTTTTTTGTTTGTAAACTAACAATGCTGTGTGTGTAAGCCATTATTTAAAACAGTCATTCTTTAAATGATTTTAACAGTCAGTATTTAAAACAGTCAAAATATGGTCAACCATTTGGTAGAGCAGGCAGTTAGTATTCAATATCGGTACCTAAATACTGTTAGACTTTTTGATAATGTATTCACATTACAATATATACAGCTGAAGTACAAAATATCGCAATGTCAGATTTTTTTAATATCATGCAGCCCTAGTCTGTAGAATTTTAAATTTCCTAAAAATTCTTTAAAGGGGGGGTCCAGAGTGTATTTTTAAGGCATGGTTGTGTTTATAAGATGCAAAGCAACTTTTGCCCATGCTTCATTTGTAAAAAAAAAAATAATAATAATAAAAATTACTATTTTTTAAATGTATCTTACTTTGATTATACAGCCACTTAGCTAACATGAAAACGACTGTCATGTTCTCTAAGTGTCTTTCACATCAGATTAAGCATGTGTGTAAGTAATATGAAACATTCACATGTCTTTTGCGAGTTCGTTATTTGAAATGTATAATGCAGGGAAAGCTGTTGCATAGAGAGACTGCAGCGCTTGTGAAAATTGTGGATGTTTACAGCGGTGTGATGGATAAATATGATTTTGTAGCTAAATTGTTAATGGTGCCAAAGAGCATTTTCCGTTGTTTAAATTTTCACCACAACATATCATTAATGCTAGAAACTGTGCATGTAATAGATCAATTTTGACAAATAAAAATACTTACAGGTTCACAGCTTCGTCTATCCAGCACTGAACTGGGAGAGATTCTGGAAGCTGTCCTTTGTCAAATGCTATATATATATATATATATATATATATATATATATATATATATATATATATATAATTTTTTAAATATAATTTTCGGGAACATAATTAAAAATAAAATGTAAGCACTTCTGTCTTTGTGTTGTGTCCTTTGGAAGCCCAAATACAGAAACAGAAGAAACTCTGTGGAAAAAGCAGTGTTTGGATGCCATTTTAGCTTTCTCTGCTATAACATTACAGCACTACAGCACCTCAGGCCATGCCCCTTCGCTGTGCAGGGTGTGTGCGCATGGTGAATGCGCGCAACCTGAAGTATTTGTGATCTCACTAACCTAGATATATTTTTTTGTAGTCCCAAAAATGTTTTCGCTCCAGGAACTGCTAAGCTAGCTCTGTGAAAGCCAATGTCTCCCTTTGCATTGAACTTTGAGCATATTACATTCAGAGATGTTGTTTGTGTTCACACAGCTACATTACACATCAACTAAAGTTAAAATGTGATTTTGCAGTGGACCACCCCTTTAAAGGGTTATGTGAGCAGATTTTTTTATGGATTGACAAAAATCACTCAATTTTAACATGATGCTAAATGATTTCTGCTACTTTGTAGTCCATCAGTGGTGTCATTTTTAATAATACATTCTGTGCATGTAAACTTGCATTGTTATAAATGCACAAATCCAAACGTAAGCCAGAAGACTATATTGAACTTGACCTGTTGTTTTGCTGTCATTACTGTTGTTTGCTATGACACGTACTTCCCTAAACAGTCTTAACTGTGCAGTTTCATAGATAGTGACATTCTGTTACGAAACCAACTCAAATGACCTGTTCAGCTTTTCTCATTGTGGTCACTCTTGTGAGTCGTGTCAGCCATTGAACCTGCCAGTGTGTGTGTGCGTGTGAAAACACTGCATTTACACAGGCTTATACTGACAGACAGGAACAGCAGATCTCAGCATAGCACTGTGCGCTATTGAGACTAACAGACTTGTGTTTTAATTGTGTTGTTTTAGAGGACCGTCATGTCCTCTGACCTGCTGGTGGATCTTCATGATGATCTGGGAGGAGACGACTCTCCTAGTGCTGCTCTGGACCAGCTCAAACTGGTACAGGACAAACAGTGGCCACCGGATGACCCTTCCAGCCTGAGCAAATCTGGTGAGTGCATGACGATAGGAGCTGTACGTGTACGTGTGCGTGCGTGTGCGTGCATGTGTGTGTGTGTGTGTGTTCTATGGAATGATGAGTGGTGTTTTATTGTGTAAAAATGTATCATTAAATGCATCATTTCCGCGAAAGAATCTATATGAAAAAAGGATGTAATTTCCAGGAATGCCAAGAACCGCTTTTATCTTGAATACCAATCATATGCTCTATATTTAGAGGAGAACAAGTGAAGCTGAAACCTTCCGGTTGACATAATTGTCACAGCCTATTTAAGAACCAGCAGAAAACTCAAGAAGTCATGCAGTATTACTCATATCATTCACACACACTTACGACACAGGCGTACACCCAGAGACACACTTCATCATTCTGACAGAGGATGACTGTGTCTGGACATTTCTGTGTGTGCGTCAACAGTCCAGTATAATTGTTTCATCAACTGCATGCCTTAAAAATCAACCTTTTCCGCTAATAGTTTTACCAGACCTTTCGCATGGCTAAAGCAGAAACATGGAATAAACCAAATACTCAAAATCAGTGAGTAGTTTAAAACAAAAACAAAAACATTTTTCTGATTCTGAATCTTGAATGGATTTTATGTTTGTTAAAAGGATGGTTCACCCAAGAATGAAAATTTACTCACCATCAAGTGGTTCAAAACCTGAATTTCTTTTTTCTTTTTGAACAATGTTAGAAAACTGGTAGCAATTGACATCCATAGTAGGGGGGAAAAGTACTATGGGAATCAATGGGATTTCAAACAGAAGAGAGAAGTTGAAACGGATTTGGTATGTGGAGGGTAAGAAGTGATGACAGAGTAATATTTCTGTAATAATAATAATATATTAAGTAATATAAACAAATATAAATATATTGTTATTATTATTATTTTTTATATACTTACCGGCCACTTTATTAGGTGTCCAACTGCAGGTGTCTATTAGGCATCCAACTGCACATTAGAGCAAGTTTATATCCAGCCAATCACATGGGAGGAACTTAGTGCTTTTTGGCTTGTAGACATGGTCAAGATGATCTGCTGCAGTTCAAATTGAGCATTAGAATGGGAATGAAAGGTGATTTAAGTGACTTTGAATGTGGCATGGTTGTTAGTGCCAGACTGGCTGGTCTAAGTATTTCATAAACTGCTGATCTACTGGGATTTTCATGCACAACCATCTATAGGGTTTACAGAGAATGGTCTGAAACAGAAAATATCCAGTGAGTGGCAGTTCTGTGGGCGCAAATGCCTTGTTGATGACAGAGGTCATAGGAGAATGGCCAGACTGGTTCCAGCTAATAGAAAGGCAACAGTCAAATAACCACTCGTTACAACCAAGGTATGCAGAAGAGCAACTCTGACCACAGTGTAATTTTCTTTTGATGGTTACTTCTAGCAGGATAACGCCTTGTCATAAAGCGTGGATCATCTCAGACTGGTTTCTTGAACATGACAATGAGTTCACTGTGCTCAAATGGCCTCTACAGTCACCAGATCTCAATCCAATAGAGCTCCTTTGGGATGTGGTGGAACGGGAGATTCGCATCATGGATGTGCAGCCAACAAATCTGCAGCAACTGTGTGATGCTATCATGTCAATATGGATCAAAATCTCTGAGGATTATTTCCAGTAACTTGTTAAATCTATACCATGAAGGATTAAAGCAGTTCTGAAAGCAAAAGGAAGTCCAACTTGGTACTTGGAAGTAGATCACCATTTGAAGTAGATCAAAATCTTTCATCAGAGTCGTCCTAAACTATTGAAAGACACCTGTTCTTAACAATTTTGATAGACATTTTTAATTCACTTCAAATATTGAATATGTAGTTAAGGCTATTATAAAAGGATAAACTTCATTCAAACTTCCGTATTGAAAAAGGACAAAACACAATATCTTCCAGTCTAGGGAGAATCAGTGAGTACAAGTATTTGTCTTCTTGATGCCGTGGCTGGAATTTGAATGGTCTCTGTAGACGGCGCCAATGCGCATACTTTCATTTCTGAATCATAACCTGCCAAATTGCTTGAGTTATTGTTCATTAGCTGAGACAGCTGTTTTTCTCATGGATTTGCTGGGTGTTTATTTAAAGTCCTGATCATTTACCTAAACCTGTGAAGCTGCAAGGCACAGGGCATTTTATTCTACTCATTCTGCTTCTGCAAGGCTTCACAGAAGTAGAACGAGAAGGATCTGAGATGCAGATTTACCTTTTACCATGATTTAAACTTGTATCACAGTGATTGCGAAACTGTATGTACTCCTGAATCAGAAGTGTCTTTTATCACACATAATAATCATTTAATAAACATTACATGCATAATAATTACACTATAAGCACATAATAATCATTTATCACCCTGAACCACATAACCACTCTAAAGTTGGCTATTTTTATTTATATTTATTTTTTATTGTTATTTTTAAAAATTTACTTAAAAATTCTCAATTAAACAAAGTCTAATTCATCACATAATTTTATCTCTGCTAAATATTGTCCAATCAAAGGTAAGAGTATACACTTTATAATTTATTTATTCAGATGATGTTTTAAAAATGTCATTTCTGTGGTCCAGGTTCTCATTTTACACTGAACTTCTGTGTTGCTATCTCTTCTGTAAAATGGTTATGATTTTTATTTATTTAAAATACATAAATTTTTTTTTCCCTGCAGCTTCAGACATTAAAAGTCTTGGTGACACATCACATCTGCCCTGGGACGACCCCTTTTATGACATCGCCAGACATCAGATTGTGGAGGTGGCAGGTGAGATGTATAAGCATAAAGCATGACATCATCAGCTGCCTGTTGTATTGGTTCTGAAACCTTTTAATCTGTCTCCTTTACAGGTGACGATAACTTTGGCCGGAAGGTGATTGTCTTTAATGCTTGCCGTATGCCACCTCAACATCAGCTGGATCATCATAAACTTCTCATGTAGGCACCATAACTCTTGCTTGATTTATGTGCTTCATTTGTAGACGTTATGAAGCTGGGCTGTCAGCTGTGCTGTCAATATTGCTGCATTTCTTTTTGTCCTAGTTGTGGGTGTTTATTGGTCTGTGTTGTCATACACAGCTGTGCACGGGACACTTTAAAGATCAAGGTCAAACTCAGAGATCAAAAAAGTACAGGGAAAACCATGATTGTGATTGAGGGAGAGAAGTTGTCCTAAGGTTTTTATGCTTGATTTGTGTTTGTTTGCACCGTTAATTTGGTCAAACAATATATTTAGTTTGATAAATAAATAATAAGAAAATAGACTGATTTAATCCTTACACGTCAAATATTTCTTTCTATTCATTTTTAAAGTCAGTGTGAACCAGAAGTTGCTGAGGCCCTTTTTTTAGTAAATTGATATACTTTACACTCAAACAGAATATCGAGTAGGGGCAGGGCTTTCTTTTTGCACATCATTCACACTGGCGTCAGAGTCCATCAACACTTCCTATTCACTTTGAATGGGTGATGTCAAACATTGCCAAACTGAATTGTGACGTTGCTTGCTGCAGAAATTGGGAATTTCGTAACTTTTCAAGCGCCAACGGAAGGGTCAGCCAATTAGATCGCTTTATGCAAATTCCCCAGCTCAGACAGTAGCCGATTGGACAATTTTTTTGATTGGCTGACTTTGCTATGAATATCACGTCAGCCCCAACTTCAGACACGCCCTAAGTCAAGCCCTGTGAGAATCGTAACAGTAAGAGGGTTGTGGATAAAAATATTGTGGCTGAAGCAATTGAACTGACAAGATCAGAGAAGCACTGCAACTCCAAACATGAAAGCAAATGATCTGACTTTGATTAAAGATAACCAAAACTAACTGTATTTTTCAGTAGGTATATTGTGAACCTAAGGAATAACAATACGTGCTAGCTAAATGACCAGTCAATTTTGATTTTGCACACTTTAAGTATTTATAAAAATGTTTTAAATATTATGAAATATATTTTGTTTTCATTTATACAAATGTATAAAATAGTAATGTGTCTTTAAAATTGAACTAATTGTTTATTTACCATTAATTCTTTATTTTTAGGAATTTTCTATAAATTTGCACAAAACAGAAAAACAAACGGTCAACAACAACAACAACAAACAAACATCCTCAACACTTATTTGCCCTTTGTGTGTTGATCAGAAGAGGCACAAAGCTAACAGTCTTCAAACATCAAGGTTCAAGTCCTTAAGCATTATACAAATGCACAGCAAGTGTATGTATAGGGTGTATAAACAACACCATTATAGTAGCAAAAAAATTATTATATAACAAGGAAAGATATCATTTTTAGATATCATACAAAGCATAAGTTATCTAATGCATTCATATTAAATGAAACAGTTTATTTGTTTAGTTCTTAATAAAAAAGCATAGTTTAAAATATAAAAAGGCTTACTAACTATAATTAGTTCATTTCACATCCTTGAGGTTTTGCTTCCGTCATTGCTGGCTTTTCAGTTTTCAACCACTCATATGCTGAGTAATAAATAAACCAACCATGTGTTCAGTCAATGTGTCAAAACACCACGATGCTTTTTAATGAAGTGAAATAGAAACAGAATCTTGCATCTGTTCAGTTCCCTTTTATGAACTTATTTGAGAGGATAATGACTTGTATAATGAAACCTAGAGTCTATAAGAGCTGTTTCAGATATTATAAGTGCAGATTTTCCTTCAATCTGTTTCATCGTTCAAAGTGAAGTTTTGATTTACTGTGGATTGGTTCATTTATTGATATTTGTGTGCAGGTATTTGAAGCAAACCCTTGATAAGTATGTGGAGAGTGATTACACCCTCATCTACTTCCATCACGGTCTGACCAGTGAGAACAAGCCCTCACTCAGCTGGCTTCGGGATGCCTATCGGGAGTTCGACAGGAAGTGAGTGACGCTGCAGTTAAAGAGAGGCTCATGAATGCTTTAACAGCAGAACCCAAGAGAAAGCCTCTCTCTAATACCGTATCACTGTGTCTGTTGCAGGTATAAGAAAAATATCAAGGCACTGTACATCGTCCATCCCACCATGTTTATCAGAACTATCCTTATTCTTTTCAAGCCCATCATCAGGTCAGTCCCACAGTATTGCTTTATTCACGTCTCTGTGCTGTTTCATGCAAACAGTAACATTTATGTTACTTTTATGAGTTTCTTCTTTCTTTTGAACCCCAGAGGCCATTGATGTTCACAGTAGGAAAATAAAAATATCTCGTTTTGTGTTCAACAGAATAAAGAAATGGGTTTAAAACAAGGTGAACTATCCGTTTAAAGTCCACTTGAACCGTAACTTTTGTTTCAGTATGTTAACGTATTTCCAACTTAAATAGAATATTGAGTAGGGGGCGGGGCTTTATTTTTGCACATCATTCACTTGTAGCAAACTAGTAATAAGAGGGGCGTGGTTAAGAATATAGTGGCTGAAGCCTTCAAAGTGACACTAGCAGAGAAGGACTACAAGTTTAAACATGCAAGCAAATGGTCACACTTTTTTAAACAATTTTTATTTTAAACGATGTCAAACAAATTGACAAAGGTTCAGCATGTCTGTGGAGTCTTAAAATATCTTAAATTAAAAAACTAAATTTACTGTTGTGTGTCTTAAACAATTTTAGACGGGTCTTAATTTTCCTCTAAGTAAAGCTACCCAATCATCAACAATCCATCTTAATAAAACAGTTTTTTATCTTTAAGTTTATATTTAAGTTTTTTTTTTTTTTTTTTTGAAAAGAGATATCATTTACAATAGCTGTTTTTACAGCAATTTACAGCAATTTCTCCAAATTAAATTCCCCAATTCCTAGGAAAATAAAGCGTAAAACAATTACATAGTTCCTCATAATAGTAACAGAGCAATGTATCACTTTACGTTATCTTCCATTCATACAAATTTTTTTTACAGAAGTAAGGGGGAGTAGACGTAATATTTATAAATAAGCATAAAACTTAAGGGAAACTTAAGGTTTTATAACAGAAATGTATTAGGTTGAATAGAGGTTATAGTCAAACAGTTTAGACCAAAGGACAACAGATATATATTTTTTATAATTTATGTAATTGTCTCCACAATAAATTTACTTTTTTAACAGTATTAAACTTGTCATTAAGAAAAAAGAAATATTATGTTAAAAAAAGTGTATACAACTAGAGTTGAGGCACACAAAAGAAATAATCATTAGTATTTAGCCCTATTTAAAATTTTATTCATAATGGTCTTAGAAAGGTCTTAAAGTCTTAAATTTGACTTGGAGCCTGAGGAAACCCTGAGGTTTACATTTTCAAAATCAAGCAAAAAGTGCTTCAGGGGTAGTGAATGTGTCTGTGCTCTTTGGATAAGGGATTCATGAAGATAAACAGTAAAATCATTAATCCTAGACACTCGAAAAGGAAGTGAAATGAAAAAGCTTGTTGATATGGCTATTCCTTCCATGTTATACAAAATAGCCATGTTAATAAAGGCTTTTTAATTTTTTCACTTACTTTTCGAGTGCCTTGGACTTATGATTTTGCTGTTTAAATTTTCAGTTAAGCTAAATAAAATAAAAAACTATAACCTGCCTAATATATAAACACAAAAAAACGTAATACACTTTGATAGAAAAAAAAATTATATTAAATAATACAGCAATATTTGTAGTTGTATACAAGTTCATGCATTTGTATCTTGCATTTATTAATTGCTCACATAAAGAATGAAATCCTCCATTCTCTTTTCATATTATACTTTTGTTCTGTTGACAGCTTTAAGTTTGGCCGGAAGATAAATTACATCAACTATTTGAGTGAGCTGGAAGAGATTGTGAAGTGTGATCAGCTGGTGATCCCCAACAGAGTCCGAGAGTAAGAAATGACGCTTTAATATATGCAGTTTAACAGCATGTCTGATTGCATATCAATGTTATTTCTGTTTAGATCTGATTACGGGTGTCTTTGTTCAGGTACGATGATAAGATCCGTCTGTCTCTGAAGCCGTCTGTTGTTCCTGGACCAATCTCTCCCCCTCGTAGTCCTCCTCTTCCTTTTCAGCAGTTTGGAGTCTCTCTGACAACGTGAGTTTCCCGAACACTCTTCCTCTAAAGCCTGGTTTATACTTCTGCGTCAAGTTATCAGCGTGACCTACAGCGCATGCATTGCGTGTAGCTGTGCATTTATACTTCTCCGCACCGTTTCTGTTGCTCTGCCATAACACTTCAGAAACGCTAGCTGGCAGTAGGTGTTTATATTCCTGTGTCAAGTTTCTTCGCTGGTGTTTCCTTTTTTTCTGAACGCTTCCTTAATGTACAAGTGGCTCAAACTCGCTCATTTTGACACAGGAACCGGCGGACGTTCAACAACTTTAATCATAAGGTAAACATGAAACAACAGTCTCCATCCAGAGCTCCTTCGCGGGACTCCACACTTGTAAACACTCGCTGCATCAGACTTGCGCGGCTCTCACCTCTGCCCATACTCATCAGCGCTACTAAGCCGACACAATCACAGAGCTTGCGCTACGCGTTGTTGCAACGTGTAGTTACGTTTTTTAAGAGGTGTGAGTCAGAGTCGCCAAAGGCCACGGTGAGAGCAATGCATCCACACATAAGTTGTGCCATAGCATACGCATGCGCTTGACTGAGAAGTATAAATCAGCCTTATATTTCACTCACTGGATGCAACCAACAGCCAACAGTAGAATACTTGCAAACCCAGCAGATTAGCTTGGCACATGTTACATGAGTATCTTAAATGTATAATATGGTGGTGGTTGTTGTGTTTTCCCCCTAAAGGCTGTAAAATATTATTGAAGGGAGACAGCTGGAGAGCTACATATTTTTGGTCATAGAGCCACATGTGGCTCGCAAGCCTTAGGTTCCCTACCACTGCCCTAGATTAATTCATTATTTCATCTTCCAAATCTCATGTCTTATCCTAAAACTGTACAGTAAGACTATATGATATTTTAGACCTCTTGTGGCAGATTTCGCAGGATGCCTGTGTATGTCTGGTCATATTCATAAAATGGAGTGAAGTAGCTTTAGCTGCCTAGGCATGTATATATACTGTAGGAGCAGCGTGATGCATCAGTTGGCTGTCATAATGAGTGTGACATGTTAAGCATGGGTCACACAAAATAGCAAATGACAAAGAAAGGAGAAAGAAAAACAGTCTGTAAAAGTCCGTAATAAAACCTGCATCAATATTTGGCTTTTTTTCAGAGTTTTAAAAGATCATTCTTCTCTCTTAATCGCTTATTTAATAGTTTTGTTTAACTAATAGATAGCCAAGTAGCTTAATTGTAGAATTAGTTGTATAGCTTAATTATATATGTGTCATTTCAATGTGAGTGGTTATGCTGTGCTGATTCTTGAAGTTCACGTAAACGATAAACCTAATGGGTCACCTAAATAACAACCCATTCAGCTTTGTAAATGGTTATACTTGATCCTGAGTTGTTTTTTTTTATCAATCAAGCTTCAGAGAAAAAAAAACAAAACGAATTTTATAATTGTTCATTTAAAAGCACCAATACTCTAGAAAATCTAAAGATTACCTGCTTTGGTCACATTTTTTTTAGATCATATTAAATGGCAATCCAAAGCACAACCAAAATATTCTTAGAGAAGACAGATTTATTTCTCAACCACAAAAAAACCTAATGTTTTATTGTATGCATTAATGTGGTAAAGCATTTTGGTTGAAAATCAGAGCCATCTCATTCGTTCTATTGCATTTCAGAGCATTTTTGGGAGCTGCTTTGCTTATGATATGGGTTTGTTTGTTTGTAATCAGATTGAAACACAGGGCAGCAGACTCAGAGGGAATTCCACTAGTCATGCGTGACACTATTGGATTCCTGCTGGAGAATGGTAGATTTTCAACTCTTCTATTATGTCCTGCCTTAAATGGTTGTGTTTTAAAGCCCTAGTCATAGCTATTTTTTCTACATTCAATTTTTTTACTCTGATCTTCATGTAGGTCTCCAGACAGAGGGAATATTCCGGCGTTCTGCTAATGTTTCTTTGGTGAAGGATGTTAAGGCAAAATATAACTCAGGTAAAATCATGAAATGCCCTGTGTAGTTTGCTCTATATAAATCCCCACATGATAATTCCTGTTCATCTTCATTGCCTGTGTGTGTGTTTGTAGGAGAGGAAGTGAATTTCTCTCAGCTGGAAGACGTTCACTTGGCAGCAGTGATCTTGAAGATGTTCCTCAGAGAACTGCCAGAGCCACTGCTCACTTATCAGCTGTACAACGACATTGTCAACTTCCACAGTGAGAACACAAACACACAATACCTCTAAACACAAACACGTCACTAAACATTTCTTTGCATGAAAATGTTTTACCACACATGCTGTTACACAACCTTACTTTCTGTGTTCCTTGTGAAATCAGATGTTGACATTGAGTCTCAGGCAGAAAGGATTCAGAACATGCTGATGTCTCTTCCCGATGAGAACTATGCATCACTGCGCTTCCTCGTACAGTTCCTTGCTCAGGTAAAAGAAATGATAATCGACAATAAGGGATTTTACTTTAACCACTGTGCAGTTTTGTGTCTGTTATGATGGTTTTAGTGTATTAATACAAACAGCTTTTTTAATGGAATTTTTTTTATGTTTATATTAGTATAAGATTTCTGTTTATATATCTAATAACCTTCAGGACAAAATTATCCCCATTGAAACCCATTTAATCTCAGTGTGGTTAAAGCAAAAAGTCTTATATTCTTTATTAATAGGCTCATTTTGTGTAAAAAGTTTCACAATTTACATAAAATGTCAAATTTAATATATTGTGATATATTTTGTCCATTTCGTCCGCTTTTTTTTTTTTTTTTGGGCTACTGTGTACTGCAGACCAAAGTAAATACTATGGGGTGTCTGTGTAAATATGTGGGTATTTTAGTATGGATAGTAGGGCAACATAATATTGGGAAAATCTAAAATTGTGATTTTTATTTTTTATTTTTTATCTGTGATATGAAAACGATTTCACTAGATGTGTTAAATAACTATTTGGAAAAAAAATTATCATTTTAAATTGATTGGGATGATTCTGTAGGGGAGTGCATTTGCATAAAATATAATAAACAATCGACAAGCATAGATGAATTCAATAAAGAAAAAAATGTGAATTAAATAAACATTGTTTTTAAAGGAGTCTATCTGTATTCAGGTTTACAGTAATTGAATAATCAAATGAAAAATAATGCTGCATAGTCTTCGTTTTATAAACAATTCAATAAAATTCATTGTTATTAATTTGGCAAAGTTACAAACGATACAATTTCGTATGCCTGAATGTATTTAAAACCCTCAAACAGTCACAAGCCTCAAAAACACTTGATAAATAATAATCCAGACTCAACATTGCAATATCGATGCTGAAACAATTTATTGTGTACATGCTGAGATGTTGGTATGTGTGTTGAGTAGTAGATTTGTTTTTAAAATTAAGATTCTGCGCAAAAAATATTATCAGTACATTAAAATTAATGTTGCTTCGTGTCAAAGACTTATCCAAGACTTTAATCCAGTGGTGGGCAAACTTTTTAGACCTGAGGGCCACATCAGGTTTTGCAAACCAAGTGAAGGGCCACATGTCAAATCCTTCAAAATCAACTTTTATTTATAGTGGCAGTATGCATGAAACATGTAATATTGGACAGGAACATGTCACATTAACACACATTTTTTAAATAGTTAATATTGAGTCATATTTACAAGTCTAATTAATTTGCAGTGCTATTTATGTTTACTTATCAATCATCATAAAATAATAAAATAATTATAATCTAAATAAATCTAATAATAATGTAATAATTTTTACAGTGGAGAATAGAAAAGAAATTGTCTGATAGAAAAAATCTCATATTAACACATTAAAAATATTTTGAATGTTTGCGTGAAAAATGCCGACTTGGGTTGTAGTTTTTAAAAACAGCAATAATTCTTGTCATATTAGACCTACCGCTTTCTGTCCTATATTTGTAAAGAAGTATTTTGTTGTCCATTCTTCCTTAAACACACGACATTCAGAGTCAATTTTTTTTGCCTGACTCATTTTCAGTCATTAACCATCGAGTGCATTTTAATATCCAAGAGTGTTCTAATTCTGCTGGTTGCACTAACTGTATTGCATACAATACTGACATCAAATGGCATTCACTTGTATTGCCTCATTAATTTACTAATTCTGAAACCAAACCATTACTCAGAAGCAGCATTTTAAAAACTCCCTCGCGGCCGAATGAAAGTGTTCAGCGGGTCGTAGTTTGCCCACCTCTGCTTTAATCAAATAAATTACTTCACATTTAGCCTATGAACGGCAATAGATATCGATTTTTAATTCATATGTGAATTATGTAAACAAACAGTTCAAATATATGTGTATGTATATATATATATATATATATATATATATATATATATATATATATATATATATATATATATATATATATATATATATATATAATCTTTACAAATCTTTTTAAAATGAATAATTTTGATAGGACATCATCAGGAGTGACCTGATTAGGAAATCCATGTAAATGAAAGAAAGAAATTATAAAAATAATAGTTATTCGATCTGCTTAAAAGCCTAAATTAAATTTCTTCATTTTATGAAGCCATAATGTTTCTATAGGAGTCTTTGATTAAACTGATCAATTCAAATGGATTTATTTAAATCTCTTTAGGACTTTTTTTTTTAAGTTTTAGATGAATAAACGTTCAATTATGGGACATAAATCATATTTGATTAAATTAATCTTCATTTGTGTTCTGAAGATGAACCAAAGTCTTCTGGGATTTCAACTGCATGTGGGTGAAATTGCATCAATACGGAGTGAACTCTAAGTTAAAATTAAATTTAGCAACCAAACTTACCTTTTTCTACTTATACACTTTTTTTTCATCATACAATTTGGGTCCGAAAACCATATTCAGAAGGCAAATACGTCCTTGGCTGTGTCAAAAAACAGTAGGTAATTCAACTGGGGATTTTTTACAATGGTTATGAGAGAAAAATGGCAACATTATGGATTTGTACAATGATGAAAATCCCTTAAAGGGCACCTTTTTTTTTTACCCCTTTTACAAGATGTAAGATAAGCCTTTGGTGTTTCCATAATGTAAAGTTTCAGCTCAAAATACCCATCAGATTATTTATTACAGCCTTCAGAATCTGCCCATTATATAGTGTAGCTTTTTTGTAGGCTGTGGCTTTAAATGCAAATAAGCTGCTTCTCCCTGCCCACAGTTTCAATGTGTGTGTCTGCTTCATATCATGCGTTATGTCAGATAAACAGCAGTCAGTGATAGAGACAGACTCGGATGAAGCTGAAATACAGCTCATTAGTCAAAAATACCAAGTAAATTTATTTGATGTATTTTTGGTGGCGTTTATTCAAGCCTTTCTGAAATGATTAGTCTCACAAAAAAGAGATTTTACAGTACACACACACATTTATATGCGTGTTTACTGACACCATGGGGCTGTGGTGATTATAGCAGATAAAAATTAAATACATGCTGTTTTAAAAACGTTTTAAACTTATAAAACTGATAAAAATCACAGAGTTGCAACAAATATTTTAATGCCAGTTTTTTTGCAAAAAAAAAGTTTTGTGGACGTGTATACATGTTATTATAGAAACATGGCACCTTCAAATCAGTTCAGTGGTTAAGGAAAACTGCACTTCTACATCACATTGCTGTGGGCCTCAAAATGGGAGGGATTTGGATCCTATTTTAATGTCAGGAAATTTAAAATAGAGATTTTTTTGTGTTTATATCAGTCCAATATGACTGTGGACACATTATACCTACACACAGTTCTGTCCAAACAGCTTACAAGAGATGATTTTCATCATAGGTGCCCTTTAAATCCCCCTCAGAAATAATTAGTCTGAAAAGGACACACAAATTTTTTAAAATAGCCATTAACTATTTGGGAACACCATGAATTTATTAAAAGGCTTGCTCCATGTTTCTTTCCTACTTCAGTATTTGTTGTTTTTGTCATGGATCTTCAGGTATCTGCTGAGAGCGAAATCAATAAGATGACCAATGCCAACCTGGCCGTTGTGTTTGGGCCCAACTTGCTGTGGGCGCAGGATGCTTCCATGACCCTCAGCGCTATCGGACCAATCAACAACTTCACCCGCGTCCTGCTCGACCTTCATCAGGACGTCTTCATCCAGTGAGGAGCAGGAGAACGTTTTCACTCCGTTTTGCTACGGTGTCCCATCCTTTGTGTCTCCCTCAGTATTGCCAAAAGCATGAGTATTTTAACTGGGTGAAGCTACGCAAAAAAAACAAAACAAAAAGGATCCTGAAGGGCACAGAGCAGTCAAGCTTTCACTCAAACTTAGGCTGTGATCAAATTTCGACAATCGTCTCCTGTTCTCACGAAGCTGCTATCAGACATAATGGTACTGCGCAGGCACACAAGTTTTATACGGTCTTTTAGCAGAGACCCGATCAATAAACCAACAAAGAGATTTTATTTTTCATTCTTTTGTGGTAGCTCATCCAAGAAAGTCAGATTTCAACTAAATGCACACGTTTTGTAAGCCATAGCTTGCACAAAGCTATGGACAAGTTTAAAGCACTACTACTCAAACTTGAAACACTTATTTTAAACACGCTTCTTATGTCATATAGTATGCGATGTTATGTATTGTCGCCAAGAGCTTTCATTTATTTGATCATATCATTATATTATTATTATTATTATTTCCTGTAGTCTCTTTCATCTTTTTTTTTTGATGGCTCAGTGGTTCCAGGAACAGGGCAGATGCTTTTATGGCCAGCAAACATTTCCTGATGCTGAATCAGATTGCAAGAAGCACTCTGGTATTTATAATTCTTTGATCTTTGATCATAATATATATATATATATATATATATATATATATATATATATATATATATATATATATATTAGGGTTGTCACAATACTGGAATTTGACATTAATCGGTGCTGAAATTTTTCCAGACGTCCATTTATAGCGAACATTTAAGCGCTGTTTAGCCATTTTTAAACGCAGCTGAATTTGTTGTGTTCATGTCATTAATGACAACAGAAATGACTGTTATTGGCTGTTAAGGTCATCAGTTCACCGAACTCACTGCTGTTTACTGTGTGTAACCACAGATACAGGGACACTGGAAAATTTTAAAGCTGTGATGTTCACTTATAGACAAACCAGCTGATCGACGTGACTTTGAAACACTCCTGTGTCCCTGTATCTGTGGTTGCGCTTAGTAAACAGTCATGAGTTCGGTGAACCGATGACATTCATAGCCAACCACAGTCATTTCTGTTGAGCACGTGAACATGATGGCAAATCAGCGCTGTTTAAGAAGGTGCTCGACAAATGTTCCCGTTTTTAAAATTTTAGTACCTATTGGTATCGGAATTTCAGTATCGTGACAAGCCTAATATATCTAAATATCTCTGCCAACATTCCCCCTTCTTTCTGAATGTGTGTATTTTGTGTGTATGTGTGGTCTGTTGAGTACTGCTGTTGTATTAATAGCCCCAGACATATTTATTTTGGCCAAAGACTATATTGTTAAATGCTTGTGTGGTCAATTTTATTTGTAACTAAAAGACGTACTGCCTGTCGGGGACAGTGCCATTACGCAAGGGCGCATTAAAAGAGTCACCTAAATAAAAAAAATAATAATAGTGAAGAACAATTTTTAAGACATTTTGTCCTGTTAGTAAAATTGTGCTTTTATCTGTGAGGAAACATATCAATGTGCGATTAGTTATTACCAGTGTCTTGAGTACATAAAAAAAAATGAATTAAAAAAACACAAGTACAGAAGCAGTTTTATCACAGGGCTCTGTTTGTGAAGGTCGACATTTCCCTTCGCATGAATTCCATGATTAATGGACACAAACGGTCTGGATTTCGCACAAAGGAGGCTTGTTTCATGGGTCTGACGTCCAAAAGAACCTTAAAGCAGGTACTTGGGTACTGATAATTTAGCACTAATGAGTTGTGTGTCATATGCCTTGATATTTGAATTGTAACTGTTTACTGTAAACGTCCCGTTCATGTCAATCCATCCGTTGAGCATTGACATGTGGACCAGTGGCTTAAATAGTTTTAGACAAGCTCCCTCAAACCCAAGTGTCTGTGTGCCTTACTGGAGTGAACTGGCGATGATCTATATTAGCTGTTGATTCCCCTTCTCTGGACAGATCTGTGAACTTTGTGCCATTTTGTTGTGTGCGTATCCAAACATCGACCTGTTTACCTGTGCTGTAGACGTGCATTTCTGGTTTCCAGGTGGAACTTTGCATTACTTCTTTTGTGAAGGTTCTTTTCTTCCATTTTGGCTGTTGAAATGTATTCTGTGCTTTTGAACTCTGTACTTTTGTATATCATGTTGTGAATTCAGAGTAATAAATTGATAGAGATGGTGTACCGTTTTTTTCCCCCTCTTTGTCTTTTTATTGGCTTTGGGACAAACCATGTGGTGAGCAAGTAAAAATACCCTATTCACTCTTTGATTGTTTTTACTTCTTTTAGATAATGTATTCTTTTGAAACAATCATTGCTACCAACATTCTCTAGAACAGGGGTGCCCAAACTTGATCATGGAGTGCCGGTGTCAAGCAAAGTTTAGTTACGATCCCAATAAGACACACCTGGGCTGGCTAATCAAGCTTTGCAGTCACACTAGAGCAGAGGTGTCAAACTCAATTCCTGGAGGGCCGAAGCCCTGCACAGATTAGTTCCAACCCTGCTTCAACACACTTTACCTGTAGGTTTCAAACAAGCCTGAAGGACTCAATTAGTTTGATCAGGTGTGTTTAATTAGGGTTGGAACTAAACTGCAGAGCTGCGGCCCTTTTGGAACTGAGTTTGACACCTGTGCACTAGAGTTTATGCGTGTGAAATTCTGTAGTACGGTGCTGTAAAAAAGGGGCAGGATTAAACAAAATGATTAGACATTTTTAAAAAAGCGAGCGATTGCTCCATATTTTAAATTCCTGTCCAGAGAAGTCATGTTTTGATCCTCGATTGGTCTCACGCAGTCAAGTACTGCGATTTGGCGATCGAGCTTGCGTTTCAAGTCTGACCTATTCACATGCGTCTGAATGGAAGTCTATGGGGAGAAAAGTCCAGTGTGACCCAGTCTACGGTGTTACCGCAGCCTTAGGCTTTCTCAAAACATCCTTGCAAGTGTGTTGAGGCAAGTTGGAGCTAAAATCTGCAGGACACCGGTCCTCCTGGACTGAGTTTGGACACCCCTGCTCTAGAAAGTTTTAAATAGACACATACATTTTACAAATAAAAACAGGAATACATTTACAGAAAGACAGTCAACAGAGAGCAAATACATATCTTACAATGAAATATCACATGGCTCAAAGCCAGGACTTCCTGTTTTAAATTAAAATTACAAATAACAATTAATAAATAGAGAGAATTAAATTAATCCAAATAAAGTGTCCAATTAAATTATTCACAAAACATTTGAGAAAGAAAAAATGTCCAAATTTGGATAAAATTGTTCTATCGCAATTTCTCTGTGCTTAAGTGTATAAAACAATAAAATACTCTTGACTTTTATTTAGATTATTTCACACTTTAAACCTTGTTGAGAAATGGGAATCAAAATAAACCTGAACCTACAAAATAACTAGCATTTTGAAGCCGCACTGTGATCCTTAAAGGGATAGTTCACCCAAAAATGAAACCTCATCATTTACTTACACTTAGTTATTTATGAATTTCCATCTTCTGTTGAACACAAAACAAGATAATGCTGGAAGAAAAGCAGCCATTCACATCCATAATAGGAGCAAAAAAAAAAATTTCAATAGAAGTGAATGGCTGTTTTTTCCAACATTCTCTAGAATTTTTTTCCTTTTGTGTTCAACAGAAGAAAGAAACTCAAACAAGTTTTGAACAATGAGAGGGCCAGTAAATGATGACAGAAATTCATTTTTGTGTGAACTATCCCTTTCAAAGGATTTTCTTATGTCATCAAATAACTATTGTTCTAAATATGCCTCTCTTGATCTTTATGGAGATCCAGAAGGGATGTGATGGTGGGGAAAAAATGGGTGGAAGAAAAATAAATTTGATGAGAGAAAAAAAAAACGAGTGATAGGAAAAAAAAAAAAAAAAAAAAAAATATATATATATATATATATATATATATATATATATATATATATATATATATATATATAAAGTTTTTGTGTTCCCGTTCAAAACAGTTTTTCCACAAACACTGTTCACTTCATACATGTCAACCCTCCCGTTTTTATTCTATCCCGATTTTACCATTCTATCCCGCTATCATCCTATCAATAAGTATTTTCCCTTATTTCTCCCATATTTTTAATCTTGAAAGCACGTTGAAATATTAAAATGTCTGCATTCACTTCCACCCAGTTTCCCCCCACACAATCACGTCCCTTCCAGGTCTCTGTAGCTCTTTGACATTTTTGTTGATCTCTGTAAATCATGCGGAAAAAAGATTACGTCTCTGAGACAGTACTGGGAACTGGCTGTAGAGCAGCATTTAAAACGTAATGCTGCATTGCACTTTTATTTTGGCTCTTAAAATCTTTGGACAACACTTTTGTTCTTCAATTTACATTTTAAAAATATATAATAAAACTTGAGGTAAGCTGCATAGTATAACGCATCTGTAGCACTGGAGGTTCTGCGTTGTTTCATGGCATTTTCTAAATCAGAAACAGGCCATTGCCTGCTTATAAAAGAGCATGTGTGTGTATTTGACAGAGTAGAGATGCGGGTAATGGCAGTCCCTTTGCACGTCTACCTTGTGAAAGTGACTGTGTGATGATGTGTATGCAGTGTTCCTGCAGAGAGGAGATTCTCTGGCTTCTCAACCCCAGCTGAAGCTCAGTTTCTGGAGCAGTCGAGCTCACCAGAGGATACAAAGCCTTGCCGACCTGCAAAGAACACAAACGTTCTGCAGGCATTTTCTTTGTTTAATGTCATGCCAGCTTCTATGGCTATTTTCATAACAAGAAAAATGATACTGCAGCTTTGCATTTAAAAGAACAAGGAATGCATACATAGAGTAACCTAAACACGTGCATAATTGTTAAATAAATCATTTTACCTGCTCCAGGCCAGTGAAGGCCACCCCAAGGTTTACTCCATTTCGGGAGAACGTCAGTGTTCCTGCGCTTAAGTCCAACAGAACCCCAATGACTGTGTTTCTTTCATAAAAAGCCTCTGTGTATTTCCGGCTCCTTCCTTTATGCCAGATATAGCCTTTATATGACAGACCCCAGCTCTCACTGTCCATGCCTTTGAAGAAAGAAGCAAGACCATCAGAACAGTCAAACAGCCTCCATCATTCAAACAAAGCACAGACGTCTTTTGTATGATCTACTTTTTTCACCTTTGGTGTTAATCTGAGAGGCATTGAAGGGACACATTTCATGTTTGATAAAAAATGATCCACCTGTACTGCTCACTGCTTGATGTTAAAATCCTATCAAATGATTCTAGCTATATCACACTGGCTGTTTAAAAATCGCATACTTTGCCACTATAAAGTAGATGAAAAACAAAAAGTGTCAGCTGAATTCACAGTTCTCAGTGAAGCCAAGCAGCTAGATTACGTAGCTAGATTACGTTTATATATTCACATGTATATATTACATGTATACATGATTTACGCATGTATAATAGATATTTTTCAAGACACTTCTATACAGCTTAAAATGACATTTAAAGGTTTAACTGGGTTAATTTGGTTAACTGTGCAGGTTAGGGTAATTGGGCAAGATATTTTATAATGATGGTTTATTCTGTAGACCAGTGGTTCTCAAACTTTTTTCACCAAGTACCACCTCAGAAACAAATTATCTCCCCAAGTACCACCATAATGACCAGTATTGAAATAAAGTAGCGTAGTTGGCCAAATTAAGCAGCTACAGAACTGCACAGTTCGAAAACAGAGGCAGAGTCATATTCATATTTATACAGTTTTTGATTTTGAAATACATATTGCATGTACATATGACATAATTGTGAAACTTTTTGAAATCTAAACATTAACTTGTATGTAGATTGGTTTTTCCCAGAGGATGTCAAGCTGACAAAATACTGCTGCACTCTGATACACGTTTTATTTATGAAGAAATTTAAAAAGCACTGCAGTGTTTGGGGTTACTGTGTTTGTCTGAGATATTTAGTCTAAAGAAATTATATTCTATACAAAATATGAAGCTGATCAGTCGGTTCATGTCACGTGACTCGCGGTGCGGCATTCTGAAAAGTTAAGATGTTTTTTAATTGTATACGCCTGGAATACGCTAGCACCACGCACCTCTTTCTCTAATTCTGCGCCAATTGGATTGAGCAGCTGATGATAGTGATGCTATAAAGTAAACATTTTAAGCACATCGCTTTGATCGTATCCTTTAGAGAACAGCCAATGCTGATTACATTAGTGTTATCGTATGCATCAAATGATTAAAATTGTATTCATTTTTTTCTTTCATTACTCAGTGATCCCTCTGCGTACCACTAGAAGTAAGCCTGCGTACCACTAGTGGTACACGTACCACAGTTTGAGAACCACTGCTGTAGACTATCAAGAAAAATATATAGCTTATAGGGGCTAATAATTTTGTCCCTAAAATGGTGTTTAAAAAATTAAAATTGCTTTTATTCTTGCCGAAATAAAACAAATATGACTTTCTCCAGAACACAAAATATTATCAGACATACTGTGAAAATGTCCTTGCTCTGTTTAATATCCTTTGGAAAATATTCAAAAAAGAAGAAAAAATTTCAAAGGGGGCAAATAATTCTGACTTCAACTGTATATAACATACATTTAGTGCTGTGTAATTGCTCCATTTTATCAAAGTAAGTACTGATTGTCTTTCTAAAATTTGAGAGGAATGACCGTGATCAAATAAATGAGCAACAAGACTGTACTCACCTATGAGATTGACAAACGTTTGGTCTCCTGTGTGCAGCAGTGCATTTTGGGTACCGACCCCCACCATCACAGAGCTTCCATAAGGAGGCTCCAGGAACTCAATCTCCCAGTAATGCTCACCATGAGTAAAACCTAATGTAGAAATGTGTGTTATTGTTTTTTGTTCAATCCACAAAAATTTGTAAAAACAATCACGTTAACTTTATAGATTTGTGTTGGGACAACATGAAGGAATTGTGCGGAACCCAGCATTTTTTACAGTGTACTGGATAATACCAACAGGATACAACTAATAAAGCCTCACTGGCTAGTTAAAAATTAACTTGAGCCAGGCACAGTACAAACAGCTTTCCTTAATGTTCAGCATATTATCACTGAACAGTGATATACTCATAAAACAGCGTTGAAAAGGTTATTTTGGGAATGTAATAGGTTACAGATTAAAAGTTCACTCATTAACATGCAAAAAGCAGAGTATTTATTTTTATTGTATCAGTACAGTGATGTAACGGATTTCAATTAATTTGATTACTTTTCTAAATTTCTAACAAACGTTAATCAGTTTCAAAGATTTAAATTTGGCAGAGTTAGAGTTGAAAGAGCAAAGAGTTGATTACTTTTATTCGCACTTGAATTAACATTAGGACTAATAATAATAATAATAATAATAATAATAATAATAATAATAATAATAATAATAATAATAATAATAAAAAATAAAAGGGCAGGAAGGTCACTGGTTTGAGCCTTGGCTGGGTCAGTTGGCGTTTCTGTGTGGAGTTTGCATGTTCTCCTCATGTTCGCGTGGTTTTCCTCCGGGTGCTCCGGTTTCCCCCACAGTCCAAAGACATGCTGTACAGGTGAATTGGGTAGACTAAATTGTCCGTAGTGTATGAGTGTGTGTGGATGTTTTCCAGAGATGGGTTGTGGCTGAAAGGTCATCTACTGCGTAAAAACGCGCTGGATAAGTTGGCGGTTCATTCGGCTGTGACGACCCCGGATTAATAAAGGGACTAAGCCGACAAAAAAAAACAAAACAAAAAAAAACGAACAAAACAACAACAGGTATCAGACCTCAGCATCTCTTTTTACTTTGAGACAGTTCTGGGTTAAGAAAATTATTTTTAATAGCAGTCATGCTGTTTCTGAAACCAAATCTGTGCTTAAATATGACAGGAAACAATGACATCTAACCATGACTTGAAAAAAACCTTATCTTAGATCATTTAAAAATAAAATTAAGCATATACAAGAATCCAAATAGGAAATAAAAGTGATCAAATAAGCTTAAAATATGATGTGCTATAAACTGCAAATTTACTAAGAAAACCAATCAAAAGCATCATAATAGCACTGCTATTATAAATGACCATTAAATGACAGTAGGCATTGTGTACAAAAAATAAACAAAAGACAAAGAAAACTATATAATAAAAATATGTTATAATTATATTGTCCTAGCTTTGACCATGAATTTTTTTCAGGAAATATAATTGTTAACATTATCTTAAATAGGCCAACACATTTTCCTCAGTAACGGTATAAAAATAGCTGATTACCTTTTAACTAAACGTAATGCAGTTACATGTAACCAGTTACTCCCCAACATCTGATAAAATAGGGTAAACCTGTTTAAATGTAATAATGTACTTAAATAATACAACAAACTGACTCAGGAACAGCTAAGTGCCATTTTCTCTGTTTGGTATCCTCTCACCTTTGGTGCCTCTGACGCCTGCAGTGCCCTGACTGTCCAGCAGAGGGCTGATGTGGAAATACACGGCTTGTCGGCACACCGACACATGAGCATCAGGGGATTTACTGTCCGGGTCCCATTCCCAGCTCTCCTGACAGTGACCTCTGAGTGAGTGACACATTTACTCTCCTCCAGAAAACAAAACACATATACCAGTCACTATACGGTCAAAATATCTCATGTATCAGTATTAAATAAATGTTCAGTAAAGTCAAATTAACAGCAATACATATGTTATAGACTACGACTCTTCCAAGTTGAATAATTTAGGCTATTTCTTTACGTTTCAAAGCTGAGACCTTTCAGACGTGAAGCACACCACGTCCCAAAGGCTGCTACTATAATCAAAACATACGTGACTTACCAAATGTACGTGGAGTTCTGTAACCCAAAGTATAATTTGAAAGAGAAAAGACTCTCTTGGAGCTTAAAACCAGCTTTTGAAATGAAGTCTGTACCGCCACTGAGAGTTTTGTGTATGGGTGTTCACACAGCTGGACGATAGAAAAACATTTCACAACTGCTGTCAAACGACACTGAGTTCATCCCAATATGGAAGTGGGCGTGTTTGTGTTGTTGGTGCTCATGAATTATTAAAAAGCCGCTGCTGGCGTACGAATAGTCTTTTAGTGACGCGTCCTGAATAATATTCATAAGCCAAGCCTCTGCCATACTATTGGCCCGCATTTATTGAGCTAACGAATATTCATTAGCTACTGGATCCTCAGCGTTTGCCTCAAGGAGACACAATGTTCTTAACGGTGTCGGCGTGTTGGGTGTAACTAGTGTCACATTTGTCAAAGCAACTACCTACTCTTATTAAATTACTTATTCACGGATAAGTGTAAAGGATTACTGCTCAATTTAGGTAAATATAATGACCTTAAAGGGATAGTTCACCCAAAATTGAACATTTACTCATCATTCACTCACCCTCAAGTGATTCCAAACCAGTTTGACTTTCTTTTTGTTGTTGAACACACAATTATACGGAGTACTAAATTAAAACCTTTAACCACTGAATTCCATAGTATGGTAAAACAACTATTATGCATATCAGTGGTTGCTTTATTTCCGACATTTTTCAAAATATCTGTTCAAGAGAAAAAAAAAAAACTCAGTCACGCAAGTGAAAGCTCAGTAAATGGTGACAGAATTAAATTTTTTGGTGAACTATCCCTTTATATACTGCAAATAAATTCAACAGTTAAATAATTTATTTATCTGTTGTTGTTCTACAAATTCTCTTTTCAGAAAAATTATATTTTTTATCGCACATGCTTGATAATCAATAAGATTAGTTCATGATAATATACTGTATGTATGAAATATGGTGTAATGTTTTGGAACATTTGAATCATGTAACGTTTAACTGTTATTTATTTAAAGAGTGTTTGTTAGTAAAATGCTTAAGTTTACTTTTTTCAAACTAAATGTTATGTTTGAATTAAACTTAAAAAATCTTAGTGAAGTTTATTTATAAACTAATTTCGAGTATCACATGCTTACGATTGATCACAGCTGGTCCTGCACTAGCCAACTCGTGATTCACCAATCAGACGATTCCATAAGACACCATAAATAACCATAAGTTCCATATCACAGCCAGCTTCGTTTTGCTGTTTTCCAGTTTGTTTTACTTATATTGCCTATGCATTAATATTTATAGGGATTTTATGTAGTATTGTTTAAAGTAATTAAATGATTTTATATGGCATAGTTTAAATTCTTTTCAGACAGTGATATTGCCATTACTTAGTTAGAAACATACACTTGTTCTTAACCAGTTCTGAAGGGAAGAAAATGGATGGGACTTGTTTGAAATAAATCAGTTTATTACACAACATGTACATGCCATATTAACAAAGTGTGGGGGAGAAAGAAGACACTTAAAATAATTGAAGAAGGTCCAGCTCCTAATGACTTACCAACAAAAGCTTTAAAAAAACAACTCACCATTCAAAGACCTGACAAGATGTGATAAACTGTCCCTAATTAATGAAAGGATGACAGGTTATGGTAAATTGCATTTACAAGAAGCAAGTAAGCATACACAGACTCACAATTCACTTTTGTCAATGTTCACTGTAGTGCCATTCATGTGCAAGCCTATATTAAAATAAACAACTGGATTTATTCTCAGATTATTCAAGTTTTCCCTCACACAGATGATGTAGACTCTTCAGACAGTGTCACTGCTGCAATGACAGAATCCGCTTCTTTGACTTGTCAATATTCTGGATGTGTTGTCGTGATAATAAAACAAAGGCTGATAAAGGTTTATACATTCATTACAGTGAGCTCTACTTACACAGTTCTTCTTAATAATCTTCATAAATACAGAGGTGGGAATTTTGTTGTCGCTTTTTTTCCTTTAACAAAAGATGTCAACAATTCTCCTTATATCTTTTATTTTCCCTAAAGATGATTCTTTTTACAGCTCATTGCACATGGTAAACTGACATGAAACATGGTTAATGAATACATCCAAAGGGGGATGCTTTGGTGAAGGACGCAGAAAGAGAAAAGAGGTTGTGACTAATATATTTTCTGTTCTGTTCTATTGCAGAGTGTCCACAAATGCATCAAACTCATCAATGTTCTTCTCATAAACAGCCAGTTTCTCTGGAAGAGAGTCCTGCAAAGATACATGGTCACATTAACAAAGAGAACATCATCAACTTGTCACTCTTAAAACATATTAGAGCATGAATATAAAAAATCAGCCACCTTATATAAAGTATGCAAACAGATTAGGAATGCAACAATTCTGGATTTTTTTTGTATGATTATAGTCTGAGGAATAATTGCGATGTCACAGTTATCAGGATTATTATGCATTCATTAATTTTAAAACACTTCTAGCTTAGAAGAATCACATTAAAACTCCTTATATTTTAAAGTGTCATTAATTGCTGCTAAGTCACTAAAATACAGCACAAAATAACAATAAAAAACAAACAATAGACCATTTCTCTTTGGACTTAAAAATAAGTGAAAAAAGGTTTTGGCATTTAAACATAAGTGATGATTCTACACTAACAGATAATAAGAATAAATAAAAATAGTATGTGTCTAATGTAAATCCAAGCTAATTATTAGCTAAATATTTCCCTTTTAAAGTGAATAAATGTAGCCAAAGGCTGCTGAACCTGTCTAAAAGCCACTTTTGACTATATTAGAAAATTCTTTGGTATTTTCCTTTTGTATTTTTTTTTCCTCTTTAGAGTAGAAATTTGTATATTCCATAAAAAATATAAAGATGACCAATCAGTTCTTGTCACATGACTCACAATGCGCTTGAACCATTCTTTCGTCTCTGCCAATATGCGCCACACAATAAGCCACACACCTCTATTAAAAATGGCGAACTTGCGGACTCAAAAGACGGGATATGTGAATGGCCCTTAGTTAATAGCCTCAGCTATAGTTAATTCAGTGTGTGTGTGTGTGTGTGTGTGTGTATTAGCAAGCTCTGAACTTTAAACTAGCAATTCATATCAATCGAGATCCATAATTATGGAACATTTTTTAACAATACATTCAGGAATATTAAGATCTTTTGGGTTATTTAACCACCTTATTTCAATTTATCAACATTACTAAGGCAAATAGTTTTAATAGTCAAAAACAAAAATATTTAAACAAAATATCTCTTTATAATAAAATAAACATATGTGTTAAAGAGACTCTTAAACCTGATAAATAAAATGTTACAGTATGTGCAACTAAGGTCGATCAACATCTGTAGGGTGTCAATAATAACGATACAGTAAACCTCAAAGTCTGTAAACAAAACCAATTATGATAATCAAATCTGAGCTTTCAAGTAAAGGAACCAACCTTCATTATTTAAACACATATTGCAACATTACAAATTGGTAAGTTGAATGGCTATATTACCCCTATGTATTCAGATGGGGAGCTAGTGGCTGATGTGCACAAGAAAAGAAAGCAAAACGTCACTCTGATGCCATCCTTTTTTTATTTACAATCATCTCGTTGCTGCTATACGACACTCATTTTCGCATGTGTTATTATTCTGACCTGAAGTGACAAGCGCGAGTGCATGCTTTGCGTTTGTTTGAGGTAATTAGTTTGCTGTTATTACTGAAATGTGTATATTTTCAACTAGGTGTACGTCGTGCACGTCACATGCGCGCCTCCATTGGAAATGACAAACTGACACCCTAAGTTTATTGGTATTGCTTCCGAAACGTGTACTCATCAGCCACACTTTAATAAAATAATAGCGTTTTATACCAAAACTACATACCAAAAAATCAACACTGACTCTGTGTAGAAACGCGGTGTTGATAAGCCTTTATGATTAATTAGCCAAGCCAAATTAAAGCGTGGTTAATAGTGAAACCGGTTAATCGTTGCATCCTCAATACAGATTCACTTTCTAAAAGAACTACAGTTACAATTTTGCAATAATTTAAAGGTTTAGTTTACCAAAAATTAAAATTGTTATTAATTACTCAACCAAATGTTCTAATCCCCATTCTACGTCAGGACACAAATAAAGATAGTAATATAATGTACATTTATATAGCACATTTATACATCCAAAGTGCTTTACAATCATATAAGAAAGATATTTTAGATGAAATCTGATTGGCTCACAAAAGTGTTCTAGGAGCTTCATATGATTACAGTAGAAGTCACTGAATGTTTTGATTATGTTTTTATTTCCTTTTCTGTACTTTCAATGACACAGGACAATTGTTTTCTATGGAGGGTCAGAGAGCTCTCAGATTTCATCTAAAATATCTGTATTTGTGTTCTGATGGAAAAGGAAGGTCTAATAGCGTCAGGAAAGCATGACAGTGAGTAATTAATAGCTTTTCACTTTTGGCCGAACCAATCCTTTAATTGTTCTTCATTTCATTTTATAAACAGAACTAACTTCAACCATAGTTTGGTGCTAAAACCACTTAAAATGTCTTCATACCTACACTAATACTGTAATGTCAACCTGTCCCATACAGATTGCAAAAATGTGCAGTATGTGGTGTGACAAGAACATGTTTTTTTTCTTACCAAGTCTTCAGCCATAGACTGAGCGCTGACATCAATGGACAAGCTCGCAAGTTGAGGAGGGTTTTGAAACTCTCTGTAGAATGTGCCCAGATCCATTGGCAAAAGGTCATCCTTAGAGAATGCTGGTTTCTGTTCAGCGCACAAAAACACAGAATTCACCTTTCAGCACGATAGGAACCGTGTATCTGGCTTTTACCATACACTTCTTTCAAGGTTCAGCGAAGAAATCAATACGTGCTTGTTTACGCAATTGGTTTCACAGCCCATATTTCATATCCTGGCTGCCCACACTAAACAAGATGGTCTTTTGATGATTTTATTTCTTTAGTAACCTTTGTATTGATTTTGAACTCAACACAGCAGAACAGCGCTGCTCTGTCATGCAGAAACAGACTTTAAAAAGTAACATGATCAAGCAGGTCTCTGAGGTTTCTGAGGCAACATCAACTCACTAACTTCAAAGATTTCCACTTGGTGTGGGACACTGAATCATTCAGCGCA